CACGTCCATGCCACCGCTCAAAACCCTACAGGTCCAGCTCATCCTGAGTCGCTCTCTCCCCCACCCCCAATACTCACACTCACATTCCCCTGCCTTCCCCCAGTGACTGCTTCCTGGGCATCCCTCCTAACGCTAGGACCAACTGGAGCAGAGCTTTTTGCCTGCTTAGCACACTGTTATATTCAGTGTTTAGAATACTGTCCAGGAGGGCCTGCCGGTTAGCCCAGTTGTTTAAGCACATGCTCATGTAAATATAGTCAGGCACAAGCAAATGCAGTCAGGCACAGAATACCATGGTTCGATCCCCACCTCCACCTGCCTTACCAGACCCGCCCTTAAGGCTGCCTGAGCCAGCCAAAAAAAAAAAAAGAACGCTGTCCAAAGGAAATATAATGGCAGCTGCTGTCCAGCAGGAATGAAAGGAAGCCATGTGAATCATTTTTAGGAAACATTTTCAAAATTAAAAAGGTGAAGCTAATTTTAATTAGCTCATTACTAACTGAATAAATCAAAAATGTTACCACTTATAAGATATATTTATTACAATATGTATAGAATCGTTCACTGTCACATGAGAATACCAAGGAGACATTTTCCTTTTTCTCCATGCCATGTCCTAACTAACACCGGGTGTCGATGTGATGCTCCCTGAGCCTCTCCAGAGCTCCATGGCTCCGTGTGGCTGGTGGCACAACTTCAGCACAATACCGGGCACAGAGTGGGCACTTAGTGATATTCACTGGATTAAAGCACACTTGCCCACAAAAAGGCAACTAGGGCACCTGCTGTGGCCCAAATGTGTTCTCAGAGTTCCCATTCTGGAAATTCATAGTGCAACAGCTTTGAGAGATAGGCCCATTAATAAAGAAACTTATGTCATCAAAAGACTGGGTTTGCTACACTGTTATGCACACACACTCACACACACACACACACACACACACACACACACACACACAATTTTGCTCACAGTGTGCTCTGCTTCAGGAGAAGCAGGTGCTCAGCAGAAGCAGCCCCTCCAGCCCAGACTTCCCAGCCTCCAGAACCAGGAGCCAAATGAGGTTGTATTGTTCATAAACTCTCCAGCCTAGGGTACTGTTACAGCAGCACGAATACAGTCAGAAAGTACAGTTCAAAGTTCCCAAAAGCGCCTTCTAGTGTTTCTGCAATGGCTGAGAAAAGCTGGGGCCCGCGTCCCTGCCCGGCAACACTTCCCAGCCAGGCATCTGTGCCCAGCCAGGGCCTGCAGTCTCTGCATGACCAGCAGTCCAGGATCATGGAGCAGGTTGAGCACTCTCAGTAGAGGAGAAAGTAGCACTAAGTGGAGGTCACAGAGAAGCCAGCCTGACTTGTTCTTGTGCCTACCATTTTCCCAGGAACCAATAACAGAAAATCACAAGCTTATCTGAAGACAGATAGGACATGAGTTCAACTCCCTGTTCCTTACCTACAGCTGTGTGACCTGACCAAGGGCCAAGGCTACCAGGCACCATGCTAGAAGCCAGTGAAGCCAAAGAAAATATGAACCCTGCCCTTGAAGGATTTCAATTGTAGCAGGAAGAGATAGAGCAGTAAAGGAGAGCAAAATTTTGTTTAAAAACCAAGCCAGTGAGGCCGGGGAGATGGCTCAGTACAATAAGTGCTTGCCTGGCAAGCATAAGGGTCTGAGTTCAATCCCCGGTTCCACAAAAAAAAAAAAAAAAAACAAGCCAGGTGCACGCTTCTGAAAATTTTAGTAAACACGAAAAGAAATAGGAGGGCAAGCAATTTTCACACAAGTATTTAACCTCAAATCATAGATATGGCCAAGGGATATAGCTCAGGGGCAGGCACAGCACCTGCCTGGTAAGCTCGAGGTCCTTAATTCGATGATCCAGGTCACAAGTCTAAGGAACACAATACCGACCTCTCAGTCACCCTACCTAGTCACAGCTTGTCAAGATAAGCAGTCACATGATAAGGAAAGCTGAATAATTAAAACCCAAGAGGGCAGAAAAGTCATAAAGCAGTACAGAATAAGGATCCAACCTCTCGGCAGTAACTAGGAAACACGGACCTAGTCAGTCAACAGTGCAGACTGAAAACCACTTCGTGGTCAAAGCACGCGCTTTTCATTCTTTTTTATTTGCCTCGAAGATGACCTGATCAGGAAAGTTACCAAAGAAAGACGATCTCAGGAACTAGGTTCCCAAGCAGTGGAAACCCTACCCAAGCAGGACTAAGTGGGTGTGACGCAAGCAGGGAGATCAAGAGTCTGTGAGCCCTCCCGAAGTTTAAAAACTGAATGGGGCAGAAATCAAAGTCTCCGACAGCAATCATTTCCAGAGAAAGAAAGGGACTCTCAGCTGGGGCTGAGGCCGCATCTTCTTCCTCATCGCCCCCTCGCCCTGTGCCCATTCCCAAGCTCCCCCTTCCAGCTGGGTCCCAGGTCGCCCCCTCTTCCGGTCGCGATCCCAGCACAGACGGAGGTCGCGCCTCTCTCTCCTC